CAGGCTGGCCTGCGTTCCCGGCTACATTTACGAGACGAGGAGAAAAAGACTTCATCAGGGAAAAAGGGCTGCCGACCCAGTTGAGGGCATTCTGATGCAAATCCTCCCTCATCTCTCACATCCCGCGAGACTCATCACGGTTAGCACTGAGGCGATGCTGGATGGGGGATGCGGGCGCCCTGCGGTGGTTGGCGACCCGGGTAAGGACCCAGATGGTCCCCCGGGGAGTTCAAGAGAGAGGCAGAACGTGCGAAATTGCTTTGCTCGTTCATAGTAAACAACAGGCCTCTCGAAGTCTTCCCCCGCTCCGACTCGTGCCCTATGGACAGCAAAAAAGCAGTGGCCATGCTACCTCTGTTGGCCGTTGGCGCCAGGGCTCGCGCGTACTGTGACCCAAGAGCAGACGAGTCGTGGGATAGGAGACGGAGCATGTGAGCTACGGCACGACAAGGCAAGGCAAGGCGAGCCATGGCAAGGAAACGGGAACTGGCGCGTGGATGTGGATGGATGCAATCTCAGTCAACGTGGCGCTGTCGGGGATTGACCGAAATGCAGCAAGCAGCTCAGCGCAATAGAGACAAGTCAGAGCGACAGCAAGGCAGAGGCAGAGGCAGGCATGGCCCATGACATACTGAAAAAGGAAAATCGCTCATAACCGCTGACATCGTGAAAATTGAAGAGGACGTGAGGTCCAAGTCTTATATCTCGAGATGCCAAGTATTTTCCTAGCGCAAGTTGGCTCCTGGGGAACAAGTTAGTGACAAGGAACGCAAGTCTTGGCCAGGGATCCACGAGACCGACAGATACCTAGCTAAGGTAGCTCGAGCTGCACAGCACGGGTCCCCCTTGGCTTGGCTTGTGCTTGGCTCCTCTTCTCCCTCTCCTTCTGCCCTTGTCTTTGTTTTACATTACTTTGCCCCTTGGCCCCTTGACCTTTTGGTGCATCCGACGGGCACTGCCACGATGGAGCATGCAGGCAGGGCGCGGGAGGAAGGGGGGTCAAAAGGCGGAGCGTCCTGTGGCCAGTGGGGGTCGACTAGACTGAATAGCGAAAAGAGGATTGGATGTTGAGGTAACGGAATCTTCCTCACTCGTCGGTGAGCGATGAGCCCACGAGCTTTGGAGCTAGCGAGCGGGCGTTAAAATGTCTCTCGAGATGATGTGAGAGCGGGGGTTCACATCTCGTAACACGCCTGAAGGTACTGGAGAAAATGACGGAGCGTAGTATTCGAATGAACGCAGAGGCCGGAAAACAGGACCACAGTAACTCGGCACGGAGGAGACGGGAGAACCAGCGAGCGAGATGAGGGCGCAGAGGAGCATGTGGTGAACATGGATGGGATGGAAGGCTGATGACGCCGCATGCCTGAGCCGAAAAGTAAATCAAAAGCCATGGAAAGCCTCGGGATGGGAAATACCACTTTGCTGTGCATTCCCCATCTTGGTTCGTCAACGATTCCCCTTTCTCCCCCCCCCCCCTCTCCTCCTCTTCCCCCTCCTCCAACATTCGACGTAACTACGGCAGTCGGTCTGACCGCCTGGGCATCGAAGTCGGCCCACGAGGACGGCTTTTAGGGCTTCCGCAAACAGCTACTGACCGCTTGGCCCCAAGCAAACGGCCAGGTCTCGTCCCTTGTCGCAAAAGAGCAGAGCACACTCTGGTCAGTATTGCGTGTCCCGCCACCCTCGGACGGGGAGAGAATTGCTCATGAACCTCGTCCTGTTTTCTTCGTGATACACATCTCATAGCTGCCCATTGGCGTCGTGGCTGTCGTCGTCAAATAAACACCGGACCTCGATGTGCGGCGCCGGGGTCAATACGCCGATCTCTCTAACCCCCCTCTTGGCACGACCTTCCCGCAGCCTCTTCCCGTCCTCCACCACCCAGTAGGACCTAAAGTCGTGGGCGGCCTCCTTGGCAAAATCCGATCTCCAGGGTAGGGTCTTCCACGGCCGGGCCCCCGAGTCGTTGGATCAAGGGGCAGGCAACTGAGTAGGGTGTATGAAATTTGACAGGTAATGCAGCCCTGCAGTTTGTGTGCCCTCCACCCCCTCCCTCATCGCTGGACCATCGCCGTTGCTGCAGCCAGGTCGGCGACTTAGACACTAGTAGCCTAGTAGCCCCCCTTGTGAGCGAAAAGGAGGACGAGAGACGAGAGACGAGAGACGAGAACGAGCCGGGGTTCACCGTTGCCGAACGCAGAGGCCATGCCTATGCAACATGCAGTCAATGCCTGGCAACATGCAGTCAATGCCTGGCTGCTGCTCCCCATCCTAGGTTGCACGTCCCATGTGCCCCGTCCCACGTCTGAGGTTTGTCTGTCCTCCAAAGTCCACAGGTGGGTGAGCCATTTCACAACGAGTTGAGAGCCGGTGGGTGGATGGGTCATGGGCGCGCGAAACACTTGTCCCTGTCACTCGGCTACTCCTAAAAGTCAAAATTCCGTAGCGGCTCCCCTTGGCCGTCATCTGCCCTTTGTCGTCCAAGGCCAAAAATGGCAACAATCCGACTCGCCTCGATCTGAACGACTCGCTCAGTCGCTCGCTCGCTTGATCCGCTGCCGATGGCTTCGGCGAACGTGCCCATTTTCGCGCGCCCACGCAACACGTCCACGCACACCCTCGATCTTTGTTGCCGCACTTGGTTTCCGGTTCCAGCTCACGACCTACTCATGACGTCGACACACCAAGACGAGTAGCCCCGGGACCTGGACTGAACTGGACTGGACTGGCTGGCTTGTGCCCCCTCTCGATTGAATGATGAGTGGCCGCTCAGAGCTGGGTCTCCGAGTCGGTCGGTAGCTGCTGCGCCCCAAAAGGGCCCTTGCTCTTCACATGGAGACCATGGAACGCCCACCCATCCCCTTCATAGGCAGCCACAACTCGCGCTTTTTATCTGTCCTGTCGCCTCTGTCGCTGCTCTCCTAGTTGGGCACCTGTTGCCGCCGCCGCCGTCGCCGTCACCGATTCTATTGCTGCTGCCGATACTACTACTGTTCTTGCTACTGTTGTGGGCGCGCGCTTTGGTTCGGAGGCATAGTGGATTGCCCTGCCCACTCGTGTGCTGCCCTGCCTGTCCTTGTCGCTGCTGGCCCATCCATCCATCTGGTTCGCACGTCTCCTGGTTTCCGATACTGGGCCTGCTTTTTTCGTCTTCCCTGCTTCGCAACGAATCCTGTGTTGGCTGGCTGCGTGTCTGCGGCCATCAAGCCCCCTTCGGATCAGCCTTCGTGCCGGCATAGCACTACCGTGCCGGTCCCGACATGTCCACCTGCTCTGTCGCCGCCGCTGCTCCAGCGCATCAATCAATCTTTGGCCAACCTCACTGTCCATTGCCCCAGCAGTCCGCGACGGCGCACTCTCGCACCTACAAAGTTGGCCCCATCAACCCCAAAGCACAAGCCCAACCGCCGCCAATACAGATGCAGACGCAGAAGCAGCCGCAACCACAACCACAAATGCAGCACCAAGCGAGAACGCAACCTGCCGAGCTCGCCCTCTCTACCCAAACATCTCTTCCCGCCCTGCCCAAACCACCTCGCCGAATCATGGCCGGCCTGCTGAGCATCGCCCCCGAGTTGCGTGACCTGATCCTTGAGGAGGTCCTCCGACTGCCCGAGCGGGAGGCGCCCGCGGACCCGTCCGTCAGTCAGGACCGAAAGCGTCGCAAGTACCGCGACGACATGCGTTGCTCTGATGGCCACGATATATGGGTAAAGGAGAAGAACTTCTTGGCCGCCGCCCAGGAGACGCCGGCCATAATGCTGGTTAACCGGCAGCTGCACGCCGAGGCAGCAGCGGTGATTGCCCGGACAAAGACGCACTATCGGCTCGACGTCATGTACGTCAAGGAGTGTGGACTGTGGCCGACTTGGCTCTCTGTCCCGCGCTTGGCCCATCACGCCGACAGCATCTACGTTCAGTTTCGAATCTTCGATCCTCCCACAGATGTCAACGAAGACTGGCGCAATCCTCGACAGTTTCTTGGTGGCGACGGCGGACCCGCCATGATTGTTTGGAACTTTTTCGCCATGATGAAGGATTATCTTCTGCATGGTCCCACGGCTTTCGAGAGTCTCGTTGCCACCAAGAACTCTTTTTCGGTGAAGACGCTTATTCTCGATATTCTGCCGCCGCCGCCTGGGACCAAGGACGACAACCTTGGGTTTCCTTCTGGCTCGGCTCAGGGGTCCCGCCTCGAGCGCTTCGTCGCCTCGCGAATGGCAAGTCATCGTTGGCCGATCCCACCAGAAGGAATGGAGCACACAATGCCCGCGGAGAAGCTCGCCATCTTCATTGCTGGCAGACTGAGCAGCCTGCTGTCTCGGCACGAGGATTACGGCGCACCAGTCTTCCACCGGGTCGGAAGCATCGATATTCGCGTCGGCGGTGAGACGAGGCGGCTTTTCGATCTCGACGAACTGCTCGACATGATCCCGACACGACCCATCAAGGGCAAAACGCCTGAGGAGACACTCAAACAGCAGAAAACCATTGACGATTGGAAAGCCACAATGTCCAAAAAGAGGAAGACCTGGGGCTAGCGGGTGGGGCATGGCGCTGAGGGGGAAAAGGCGTCATAAAGACGACCGTTTTATGGCCGCCGATGATCGGCCATTGGTGAATTGTTTTCTGGGATGGGAATGATTACATGAATCGAAATCCTCCGTGTACGGGGGATTCGTACATACTCTTTCTGGGCATGGTGCATTGGGCGGACTGGCATAGGTGGGCGAGCGGGCATTCGGAATGGCGAACTGGTTTCTTTGGGGCACTGGGGTTTGTTAGGCTGCCGAGAACTCGGCTCGGGAGGGCCGGCGCATTGGAGGTTCTTGTTGGGTTCGATTCCATCATCGGTATGAAATGATATGTAAGAAGCGCGTTGAAAAGATCACTCGTTCTTTGCCTGCTCATTGCCGTTCAAAACGTAATCGCGGAGCCTTGCGAGGTGGGCATGGCTGGCCTTGCAGCATCCTCCCACGACAATCTGCTTCCACTTTCCTCGAGTGTTGGCGTCGCGCACTATCTCGGCAAGCTGTTCCTCCCATGGGGCGCCTTGCACCTTGCCGCCTGCTGGTAGCTCCCAGGTCTGCGTCGTTGTGTTGTACACCTCGCCGTCAGTACCGTCGGGGTACAGAACCAGGGCCGGTGCCTCGTTGACGTGACCCGCTTGGACCTGGTCGGCAACGGCTGCTTCGAAACGGGCGATAAGCTCCTTGAGCTTCCAGACCTTGGTACAGTTGATGCCGATGCCCCAAGGTTGGGACCGTGCCACAGCTGGATTCAACATGGCGTCGACAGCGGAGCTGATGCTGGCCCCATCAGGCAGGGCCATTTCCTCGCCTGGGAAGACACAGGCAATCCAAAAGGGCGTGTTGGCGGCCTTCGCACCCAGGTCGTCAAGGGCCTTCCGTGCGGCCACAATCTCGTCCAATCTCGGCATCGTCTCGACGGCAACATATGAGACGGGCGATGAGAACCCGCCAGCCTCCTCGAAGATACGGAAACGCTCCAAATGCCAGGCGGCCAAGTCTTCAGGCGTGTCGTGCTCGGGGTCGTATTTTCCGGTGTACTCCTGGCCAGGAATCATGCAAGCGCCATAGGGTCCAACACTCAAAGCGACCTGCCCTCCGTTTGCCTTGCCGGCGCTGTGAGCAATGGCGATAGCGTCGCGTGCATATGACGCAATCTTCGTCCTGTCGATGCCGTCGGGGAAATGAGCCGTGCGTGTATTGGCGAAGCCGTGAATAGAAAATTGATAGGTTGCCGTCAGGATAATGTCGACTGGGACATCACCAAAATCCTTTTGGCAAGCGAGGAGGGTGTCTTGGTCGCTCACAAGCATGTGAGACGACCACAGAGGGGTTGACTTGTCGAAGCGCACGCCGTACTTGTCGCCAAGGGAGGTACCCAAACCTCCATCCAGGATGAGAACCTCGTTTGAGGGAGAAGACGACATGACGATTGGTTCCAGGGATGGCCCGAAAAATGCGGTGATTTATATTTTCCTATGGCCGTCGTGGGTTTTGAGCAGCCGTCGTTGTTTCTGGGTGGGAAAGGGACAGACGGGGGTTTCCATACCCAAAAACGGGCCGTGGGCTACTGATAGGTTTCTGCACCCGGGCTGGGGGACACAAGCGATGACTAACAGCGCTGTTGGGTAGATGACGCGTCCCTATAGGCTGCCAAGACACGGACGGAAGCCCCTGCCAGCGACCCTGCTTAAGGCGCGACGCACCTGCCTTAGGGGCCCCGTTCTGTGGACGTGCCTGCCCACCTTGCATTGCACTTGTTGCAGAGCTCCTGCTCAAATTGCAGTGCTCCTGCTCTGAGTGAGTGGAGGGGCTTGTCAGGGAAGGTCCACATGGCTGTAAGGCGGCATTCTAGGCCTGATGATGAAACTGGCCAGACCAGTGTCCTACTGTCAACATGTCAGCTTGATTACCTTACCTAAGGCGATGATTGTGGTCATGAAACCGAAGCGTTGTTGCGGCACAATCGAGAGCACTTGGACTGATGAAAGATTACTCATAGTTGAGTTTCAGCGATTTCCGTCACATAGGGCAGGTGCCTGCTTTCTATCCCCAATACCGTAATCGGTCTTAAACACAGGCAGGCTACAAGAAGACATGGTTGCCCGAAAGTGGTGGTTTCTTGATATCAAGGATTTCTTCATGATTTTTGTCTGACATTACGCGCCGATCTACATCCTTGTCTGCGCAACACACCTGGCAACTGTGACGCAACTGGTGCACCTGCCTGATTGCTTTTCCTGGCAACTTCCTCAGCAGACTCTGATGCCAAAGAAGGTGCAAGAGAAGGAAGTCACTTTGCAGACTCATTTTCGGACTTGTGTTCCTTCGCATAAAGTGCAAAGACTTTATCTTCCTCAAACAAGCTCCACAGGCTGAGTACATCTACAGGCATCACTACTTCCAAAACGCATCGCGCCCACGGTAATACACCTTGCACTCCAGGAGCTTAAAGACAGCCATGGAAACCCCACCCAATGAGTTCGAAACCGATGAAGAGCGGTATCTCCCAGTCAAGCCTCCACCTCAGCCTCCTAGACCTTCCCGTATGGCTTCAGATATTTCCTTGAAAGAACGTCTTTCAGGAATGCGCTTCGAGACGTATCCCTTCGACGTCTTCTACTCCTCGCTAGGAAATGCCCTCATGACACAGATGAGAGGTCGCAGAAAGGACCGCCGCCTAGTGCAGCATGACATTGCGCGCTGGGTTGAAAAGTTCATCAGCAGTCCAAACCCACGTGTCATACGTTGGCGCAGCGTCATCGCCAACCTCAGCCGCAACGTCGGCGACTTCCACAAGCTCCCTTTATGCTTCGCCCACCCGTTTCTCACAGGAGAGACTATTATTGTCAACTCGAATTTCACGGTGACGGACTTGCTCTACTAGGATGTCGAACGCGTCAGAACACCCGCCGGCGTCTTCTTGCCTCTGGGTATGGGGCTCGCCAACTTTCTTGCCCTCTCACGTCACATCTAGAAAGATGACGAGGGTCGCTACCGCGTTGACGTTGTGAGAGAGTTTGACATGGCTGAGCGTCACTTCTGGGCATCTGTCTTTGGATCGTTGGATAAAGCTTCCAAGGCGGAGGCCACAGGAAACATCAGCCTCATCCAGGACGCTTTTCGCCTCAGCACCCTGCTAAACTATTTCCCTCTCGATGCCGACGACGAGCCACAACCACCATCGCGTCTTCTGGTCGAGAACTTACCATTCTTCTTAAGCTATCGCATTCCTCAAGTGCGTGGCCCGCAGGACGTTGCTTTTGACGACGAGTTGGAGGAGAGGATTGAAAATTGGCTTTGCAAGCCCACAGCGAATGGGCAAGTTCCAATAAGTCCGGTTTTTGATACTCATACTGATGAAAGGCAGAACCATGAAGGAGTGGAATACCCCTCGAAGACAGGCAAACCAGCTTCGCAGGACTGCAAAAGCCGCAATAACTGGGCCGACCAAGCCTCTCAAGGTTATTAAGGCTGTTAAGCAAAAAAGGACACCAGAATATCATGAGTGAAAAAGAGGAAGAACACCTTTCAGATTGTTGTTCGCCAAGGCGATTGAGCGGAGACCTTGCGTTGATTAAGCGGCGTCTTATTTTCTACTGTTTCTATAGAGAACGTTGATAGCCCTCTTTAACCGCCGGGCCGGACCCAAAGTTGGCGGGATTCCGGTTGACAGAACGCCGCCGTGACATTGCAGATAACGTCGTATGCTGTCACATATGGCCAGACAAGGTCATCGACCCAGCCAAATCTCGCCCCTCGCCTGAGCTTTGCATGACGAACGACTTCCAGCACAAGTTTCTATTCACCAGAACCGCGCCTCATGCTTTCCACTGTAACAACCCGCTTCAATGCCACTCAATGTTGCGTTGCATGTGACATGTCCTTGGTTTACATGAGTACATCCTATGGCGCCGGATCACGTCGACTAAAACAGCTCAAGTAGTCCGAGAGGGGTTCCGCTCCAGAAGGAGATGGCATTATAGCATGGCCAGGCCAGTGTGCATATAAGCTTCGCTGTATCCTATTACGAGTCACCTGTAGCATCAGTCATTGAGGACTTGAGTTATTTCACGATGCTCGCTTACATGCTGCCAGCCGTCTTCCTCCTCGCTCATGGTGCCCTTGGGCAGGTCCCTCCTCAACCCACACGTGGCGCAACTCAGAGCCTCTACGGGCAGTGTAAATGATGACCAAACACGCAGACCATGCAGGATTTCGATGCTGACTCTCCACCTTCAAGGCGGCGGCGCAAACTGGGAATATGCGACAGCTTGTGCCCCTGGCTCGACATGCTACAACGACGGAAAGTAAATGCTCCACTCTCCCCGGGAAGAACTCCCAAAGCTTCTCGCAACCCGGTTTCCGTTTCCTTGCTAAACGCACCAGCAGCCCCTTGGTACTCCAGTGCGTAGCACTACGAGCACCTGCCCCCCGACCACCCTCTCTACCCCCGGAAATGGGGGAACCAGCCGTCCGACCAAGACGACGACTGCCAAAGTGACGACGACGTCCAAGACCAGCTCGACGTCCAAGGTCTCGACGCCGACGCGGACAACCTCGACCGCCGTCTTGACCACGACCAAGCCCGTGACGACAAAGCCCGCCACAACGTCCAAGACGACACTCAAGACGTCGACGACAACAACAACAACGTCTACTTCGAAGACGCAGGCGACGACCACCTCGAAGCCGAGCACGACAACCACTACGAAACCACCTCCCGAAGTCACGACGCCGGCACCGCCGCCCGTAGGCGGAGGACCTATCACGCTGACGCCGAGCACGATCCGTGGGCCGACACGAACAATCGCCTGGCCCTGAGGCACCTGCACACCTATCACAAGCCTCTTCAGGAAGTGTCCCAAGTTAACGGCTGGGGAAGAGGGCCGCTATTTCATCGTATGGGAAACACGAACTCGGTTCACAGCTAGCACAATCCCGTCAAGTAGTAGTGCACACATCGAATCGTCTTGATGATGTGTTTGAAGACAATAAAAACATCATCTCCATATAATTGTCGGGCGTCATCCTCACGTAGAACCCCTCAGAGAACAGCATGCCCAACCCCAATGAACGCGGTCCGCTCTGTCCGATTTTCAACGCCCCTGGCCATATGCCCCCCGTCTCGTGATATCGCAGCCCCCGATCCAGCGTAGAAAAGAGCCCCCTCACCAAGCAAGCTTCTTCTCCCAACCCTTCCACCGCCAGCAAACCTTCCATACAAGCAAGCGACGCATCGGCGCCATGACTGTCCCATGCAAAGCTAACAGACGGCAGCGGCCCATGCCGACCAAAGCAAGGCAGGTCAGCAACGCCCAGAACCGCCGGATTTGTTCTGGTCGGTCGCCACGTGACTCGGCACCTAGAGGAAGATTCCGTGGCGGGGGATGGATGGATGGAGACAGTATGTTAGCGGCCATCGCCGCGTGGCGTCTCACCTGGGCTACGGCACCTAGGCGGGCTGGAAAGGGGCGAGTCACCCTCCCTCCCGGCGACCTGACTCCATGAATCAGACGGTGATTCGGCGCCGACGAGCTGGACAGACCGCAGCTGAAAGAGCGACAGAGACAAAAACTAAGAAAAAAAAACTGAATCTCTGAAAAAAGAAGGGGAGACTTTCGAATCAGAGGGGGCTGCGCGCGACGTGGGGCTGAGACAATCTGTCCCGTCCCCAGCAGTCGAGTGTGAGTCGAGTACGCCAGTGGTATGGAGGCCCTTCGCGGGCTCAAGAAGGTAAGGGATAGCGTGTCGTGTCGCAGGACTTTGTCTTTGGGTGATGCAAGATGCAAAATGGAAGATATGTCAAGCGTGGGCCAGTCACGGCTAACACTAGCTCATGTCCCGGACTTCGGACGCTGGTCGCGCCAGAGCGTCTGGCGCTTGAATCATGCCAAGTTCACAACCTCCCGTCGCTGGTGCAGTCGGTCAAGTCAACATGTGTTGAAAATCAAAACTTCGATTTGGAGGGAATTTCTCCCACTCCCCATAATTCCGCGCCGGGCTCGCAGGCCTAGAGAACATTGCCTCAAAATGTCCTACGTACATGAGCCTGAATGATCAGACCGTAAACCCAATGCCCTTCCGAGTAACGCCCGATGATGCCCTGAACCGGCTGGTGCCCAGCTGATCAGTGCTGGACCCCAGTGATGATATCGTTAGTGTACATGCAAGGTAATGCGCCGATGCTGTTGGTTTTTTGTTTGTGTTTCGGCCGCGCCAGCGTGCGTCGTCAGAGATGAAATCGGACGCGGTCGAATGGTGAGGGTACCGTGGGTGGTGAATGGTGCAGAAGTTAAAGCTAAGTCGCGAATGGCTAACTCGGGCCATCTGGGGTATCATGCCTCACAGCAGAGGCTGGTTTCGTAAATGCAATATGAATAATAGGGTCGGCCCCAAAGATCAGGTGGACCATCTTCGAGGCTCCACAGTGAAGACTGCGACAATGGGGGGGCGAGACTCGTGCGACTCGTGCAAGTCGGCAACGATGGTGTGCGCATACACAGAATCGTTGTCCGTCGCACACTGCAGTCTGCAGAGAGATGCAATGGCGACGTGGGTACTATTGTTACCCCGGGCGATGAACCGGCTGGAGTCTCGCGCCAAGTCGTCAAGTATTTGCGTCAGTGCTCGCAGGCCGCTCTTATTTCTTGCCCTTGGTACCTGTAGCGGTGATCTTGCCAGTGGTCATGAGATCACCGATGTACTTCTGAAGGAACTTGTTGTTGTTGTCGAGCTTGTCGTGCTCCTCTCGTACGGCCTCGATGCGGTGGAAGATGGTGAGGAGGGATTCCTGTAGTGCCTTGGCATGCCTGTCGAAAGGGGTAAAGGGTCAACATTGCAATTCTTCTGAGGCTTTCCATGTGTACTATGGTGCATTGGTGTGGAGGGTATGGCCTACCTCTTGAGTTCCTCTCTGGCTTCCCTTCCGAGGGCCTCGATGTCCTCGCTCGTTCTTCTCGGGCTCATTGCGCGGACATCGTCGGGGCCGAAGGACTGTTCGATGGGACCGACGGCGGAGCTGTCGCGGGGGACCACGAGGGGACCGCTGGACTGTCGACTGGGGAGGCGTGGGCGGACTGGTCTCGGAGCATGAATGTGGTGTCCCTCATGATCATTGTCGACAGACGACGAAGACGAGGAGCTCGACGAGGAGCGCTCGATGCGGGAAGGATGGATCATACTCTCACCGTTGTCGCCGTGCTGCTGATCCACATCCATGGGGTCCATGGTGCTCAAGACGGCAGCAGTGCTTCTCTGAAGGCGGGTAAGTGGAAAGGGTAGAGAAGGTCGAGGTTCGACAGAGCGACGGTGATTTGATAGAGCCTGGGATGTGACGAAGGGGTCGTTCTTCTTGAATACGTGTTTGACAGGTAGAGGTGTATGAGGGTTGCCGTGGTACCGGGTCGAGGTTTTGCGTTTGCGAAATATGTAGTGTGGGTGGTAACGTGGGTGGTATCGTGGGTGTGGTAGCGGGCTTATGAGGTTGGTGTTGTGAGTGGTTGGAGGGTGGGTAGCGGACGGAGGTAGGTCAGGTAGGCGCAGGACGCAGGAAGGGTCGAAGTGACTGGGAAATCAGGGGCGTCTGCGCGTATAAGGTTGCGGATTCGATCGGTGGGCGGTGCGAGGCCAAAGTTGCGTCAAGGATGGGTTTGCCACCGATTCGAGCGACTGGAAAGAAGTCGGAACGAGAAGAGAATAACGGTGACTCGACACGACAAGACACGGGGAAGGGGGGAGAAGAACTCGGGTGACGAAGGTGGGAAAAGGCAGAGGAGGGTGGTGTGCACAGCAGCAAACAGCGGCAGCAGCAGTAGCAGCAGAGGCAGAGAGGCCAGGGTGCCAGATGCCAGGATGCCAGGATGCCAGGGTCCCCGTCCGACGAGATGGGATGGGGGTGGGGACGGTCTTTCGTCGTAGTGCCTGTGTGGGAGGGATTCGGTGGCAGGACCGTCAGGTCAAGACAGGAAAGGCTGGTTGGGAAGAGAGGTGGGGTGGGAGGAAGGCAAGTTGGGCGGGCGGGCAACTACAGATGGACAGGCAGGTGGGTTTCTTTGGGGGGGTTGTCCGCGTTAGAAAAAGGGAGTAGCGGCAGCGGGTAGGCGAGCCCCCCAAAAATTTAAGGGTCCAAAAGCCCGCAAGAGGGCAAAGCAAGGGGGAGGGGGAAGTCGATGGATGATCAGGAAACCAGGAGACCGGACGAAACAAGCAGACCCTGCGGAGCCCAGTATTGGGCACCAGCTAAGGCAGGGTATCGACGCACGCCAGCAGGTGACTGATCATGAACTGCTCGGATGGAGCATAAAAAAGTAAGAGACAGGAGGGAAGGAAGGGCCGCAAAGTAGGCAAAATGGGTCCCAAGGAACAAGCAGGGCATGAACAAGCACGACGATGCTGACGAGAAACGAAGGACGGAGGATCCTCTGGAAAGAGCCGGTGTTGACTTGTTAAGGCTTTACATGGTAGAAGGGGAAGGGTAGCCAACAGCAGCATATTGCGGAGACCTGTGACTGGCGGGTGCCACTCCGTCCAAGAAAGACTGTGTGTATCACCAGCATGTACGATTTGAGAGGGCAAGGGCCGAAGTAGGTGATGGATAATTCGCTGGGAAAGGTCCGCTGTTTGACGCCCCTTGCCACCAAATGAGGGCCAAGAGAGCGACGTCTCCACCCTGTGGGCAAGTGGGCGGGGAAT